GGCGGGCGGGGAGGGGGAGCAGCCTCACGGCGTCCAGTGAGGAAAGAGCAGCCAAATCTAAAGCAAAAGTGAAGTTTAAACTTGAAACAAGGACAAGGGAATGGCTTGAACCTGCCCGAGGGCAGATTGAGATGAGCTCTGAGGCAGAAGCTCTTCCCTGGGAGGGTGCTGAGGCGCTGGCACAGGGTGCCCAGAGCAGCTGTGGCCGGCCCAGTTGGACACAGGGGCTTGGAGCAACCTGCTCCAGTGGAAGGTGTCCCTGCCCGTGGCAGGGGCTGGAGCTGGAGGAGCTTTAAGCTCCCTCCAACCCAAACCAGGCTGGGATGCTGTGATGCGCAGCACAGGGTGATGGCTGTTCAGGGCAGGCTGTGGGACGAGGGTGAGCAAGGAGGGAGGTGCCATTCCCAGCTCTCCTCCGCTTCCCCGAATAGGCGGGATACTCAAAGCCAAAAGTCCCAAACAGGGAACGTTATTCCCCAGCCCAGGAGCTGCTGCACAGAGTTGTGCAACCCTCACCCCGGGGAGCTGTGCTGATGCTGGGGAGGGTGAGAGGAGAACCAGGAGCAGGAGAGGTGGGAAGAGCCGTGGCCATCAGGAAACATCACTTGGGGGCAGCAACTCCGCTCCCCCTTGAGCACATCTATAAACATCCAACACCCTCTGTAGTTAGAGCCAAGCCCCCAAGTCCTTCTCCTGCTCCATCCTGTCTCCCCCATCCTGTCTGTGCTGGGATTGCCCCAACGCAGGGGCAGGACCTTGCCCTTGGCCTTGTTGAGCTCCATAAGGTTACATAGTCCCATGTCTCCAGGTCCCCCCATCCTTCTAGAGCATCAACTGCACCACACAGCTCAGTGTCATCGATCCCACTGTCCGTGTTGGCAACAAAGCTGCTGAACAGCACCAGTCCTGGCACAATCCCTGATATCTCTGCTCCTCTCCTGACCCGTTTGGGAAGTTCCTCTCTCCACGCAATCTCCTTCCAGCTCCTGTTCCTCTCCCTGGCTCCCAGATGACGGTTTGAGGCTTTTTTCCTCCTCCCCTTTGGGGATTTTCAGCACTGAGATCATAAACTGAGCCTGGTGGTGAGGATGCTGAGCATCAGCTGCTCGTGATACAACCAGATCACAGAGGTGAATCAGGAGCCTGGGTCCACCAAACACTCTGTGCTTTGGCCCCGAGGGATGGAATTCCCTTCCCGAGCTCCAGGCAGTTGGCAAAAGGCAATTCTGCAGGAGTGACTCCAGCATTTTCCTGCCACCCAAACCAGTGCCGAAGCAGTGGGATAGTCCAGCAGCTTTGCCCCATTTCAGTGAGCAACTTTGAGGGCCACAAGGATGCTCAGGGGCTGGAGCAGCTCCCGTATGGAGCCAGGTTGAGAACATTGGGGCTGGAGAAGAGAAGCTGCTGGAGACCTCAGAGCAGCTTCCATGGTCTTGAAGGGGCTACAAGGATGCTGGAGAGGGACCTTCATCAGGGACTGGAGCGACAGGACAAGGGGTGATGGGTTCAGACTGAAACAGGGGAAGTTCAGGTATGTTCACGCCAAGCATCACCCGAGGAGAATCCAGCACCCAGCGCGCAGGGAGCCGTTGGCATCCCCAGGCTGGAGATGTGCTGTTCTCAGAGCCATCCATAGGGAAAGCTCTTCCAAAAGCAGCAGAAGCAGCATTCCCAAAGGCCTCGGCTCTGGCTCCTGCTCCCCAGCCTCACGCTCCTGCCCTGTGCTTCACCCTGCGCCGATAAGACAGGCGGAAACCCACAAGTATTTGCTAACGTGGCTGCAGGGAGCTGGGGGTGAACGGAGGCTTGTGGCAGGGTAAACCCTCTGGCCATAACCTCGGCTGCCCTCCAGCTCCCACCTCCTCCGGAGGCTCAGGGGCTCTTGCTCTGCACCACTTCACACACACACACATGGTCCCTTTGCCTTTCGCACCTCCCTGACAAGCCCTGGCTCCCCCCAGCCCATTACCGCAGCCTCTGGTCCATAGATCTTAGCCTGGACCTTGTGCTGGGGAAGGGACCCTGGGGGTGATGTCGAAGAGCATCCAACCACCCCACAATGCAGGGATGGAGAAGGGTCTATCTGCACCGGGCCCGAGATTAACACAGGCACAAGCTCTGCCCTCATCCTCCTCCTCTTCATCCCCATCCCACACTCTCACTTCAGCTTCGGACCATTCAGACCCACCAGCAGAGGGCTCAGACTGGCCCAGCCTTGCCTGTGGGCTCCTTGTTGCCTTCAACGACAGCCTGGGGAAGGCACAACCCCCCCATGAAGCTTCAAGAGCCCTGATTCGACCTAAAAATAACAGCGGCGTACCTCGTCCCCTCATTTACCAGCAGCAAAGTCCACGGGAGGCTATTTTTAGGCTCCTTAGGTCAGGGTTTGCTCATCCAGTACTGGTTTGATGAAGGGGTCGCTTACACGTTAACTCCTGCCGGGAGCAGGCGTGTCCCCGGAGCCAGTGCAAACACCCGGGCACCGGTGGGTTTCCAGGTTTTCCAGCCTTTCCTGGGTCATTAACTGGAGCAAGTCAACACATTTCCCTTGTTAGCAGCAGCTACAGCGAACAGAGCACATTGACCACGGGCTCACACGGCCTCAACGCACCCAAAATAGGGAATCATGGAATCAACCAGGGTGGGAAAGAGCGTTAAGATCATCCCGCCCAACCATTCCCCAGCACTAACCCATGGCACTAATGGACACGGTTTGGGAACACTTCCAGGGATGATGACTCCATCACTGTTCCAGTGCCCGGCCACCCTTTAGGTGGATAAATTCTTCCCAATATCCAACTATTCTCA